GCACAGAGATCAATAACATCAAAAATTAGATTACTTTCCTTCCTGGCACAGTTCTCATATTGCTGTATTTCTTTTTCTACGCAGAGCAAAAAAAGAGCTGTGAGTGTGGGCAGGAATGGGTTACAAACTAATTATCTGCAGAGGGTTACCACAAGGTGGAAGTGCTCCATGTCCCTCTCTGAAACAGAAGGGCTAAGATGACCATACTCCTGCAATAGGTGAGAACTGAGCCCTTCCACGGAGCGGCTGGAGTCTCATTAGCAGTTAAGGAGTTCTGATTCAGCAAAGTACTTGCTGAACTTTCAGCCTCTTTAGCCTAAGGAGAAGTTCAGAAAAGGGTAGCTGGGACATTAAAACCACCTCTCCTCCTTCAGAGTCCTGAAGATCTAGTAGTACATGAGGGACTTTTAAGTCGAGTAACTGTGGCATTAAGAAGCTAAAAGCACTGTGCAAGCCAGAACAGATCACATCCCATGTTACTCTGCACAGTATCCTGACTCCTCAATATTTACATGAAACCAATTAAGACTTTTCCAGACATTAGCAAAGCAAGTGTAAATAACACAAATGGCTTTGAGACTTTAAGTAGATCACACTTCTGTATCCCTCTCTGAAGTGGAAATTGCTAGACTTTAGTTAGCTTAAACATAAGCAGCAAAAGCAATGGAAGCAAATCAAAGCCACTCAGATACTGGCTTTTCCTTTTGCTAAGAATAAGCTAAACACAAAGGCACTTTCACACAGTGCTAAGGACGCCATTCTTGTCACCTCTCACACAAGGAGGGTTCCCAGTCCCATGCTTGTTTCTGTGCCCTGCAATTTCTCCTTTGAGCTCAGTCCTATTATGAAGTGTTCCTCTGCTCACGCTCTCCATTCCTGAGTGTGAAGTGCTGTCCTAGGGACTGCATGGGGTAGGTTACATTCTGGGCTATTGCAGGAAGGGCTTGTGCCTTTTGGTGTCTATTACCAGGCGCTGGATGTGCTGGCAGCGCCTTATAAATCACACTGGAGTTCATCTTGCATTTCAGTGGAGGAAACTACTTACAGCAGGGTTTTTTTACAGATGGCAGAGGGAGCAGAAAGAATGGTCCTTTTCTTAACTTGAGCATTGTCTCATGTAGAAGACAGGAATGAGATAAAACCTTGCATCCTATCTCGGGTGTTCTACATGTGTTTCCTGTCACTTGCTGGGTGACAAGCTGGTAAACAGCAATGCTCTCCTCTCACAGACAATTGATTTTGCTTTTCCTTTTGATTTCTCAATGGCCCTGCACAGGTGAGACTACCTGAGCTCAGCAGTAACAGCTGCTGGAAGACACTTTGACTCCACAGATGCTCTTTTCAGGTTCTCAGATGTTTCTTGCTTCTACTGAGCAGACTTTTGGCCAAAATCTGTCGCAGATGTGCTGATTCCAGCTGATTCCTCAGCCTACTGTTTTGCTTCACTAGACAAGATTGCTCTAAATAAATTACTACTATCAGGCAGATCGTGGCAGATTGTGAAGCCACAAGGTGCTTCTCAAAGAAGTGTTTCTATTAGGAATTTCAGAAAGTGCCAACAATGTAATTTACAAAAAGGTTAATTTATTATTGAAAGACCTTGACCGTCAATTCCTTTATAATGTGATGAATTGTAATTTGGAAGAATGGGATATAAAAACGCTGTTAAAGGCGGAAAACTTTTCCAGGATATTTTTCCCACCACCTGGATTTCCTGTATTATTCAGAAGTATAAGCTCTGACAGCCTTACAAGGCTGTATTCTCCCCAGGTTTACATTCAGTGCATGTAGCAGGCACACATTTTGAAAACACCTAGCCCTTCAGTGAGGATGATTCCACACCCATTTAGAAAACAGGCCAAGTTGCCATCTCCCGCCCTCAAAATCTATGCTAACGTTTCTGAGTGGACTTAGTTATAGCTTTATCACATTCCAAAGCTGTATAATGGACAGCCTCACAATTTATGAAATTAACTGTGTGTTATCAAACTGGGAATACAGATGCCTTTTTCCATTTTTCTCCAGTTTTCACTAGAATAATGGAAGCCAAATCATTCCAGGCAAGCACTGCACAGTAATTGCAGTTGATACTGTCATACAGAGCCTGCAATGATTTGCTGGCTCTGAACTGCTCGGTCTGTTGAAACATAGCAGATAAGACTTGGAAAATCAGCAGTCTTTCCATCCAACATGTTTATTGCTGAAGTAGAAGCTATTGCCATTTATTTTGGTGAGTTCTCACTCGCAGGGGATGTTTGCCTGAAGCAATGACTGCACAGTTTGGCTTTATGAACTTATCATTACGATCACCATTATCAATTTTGTGCTTTCTACTACTATCTGTGATTATTAATTAATGCTTCATTCATTTTCCCAGCAGTTCTATCATCCTCACAGCATCTCCAGAGAAATGTCACTCTCCTCAGTTTTACACAGTGAGCAGCTGAAGCATGAGCCTAGGCTGGGGAGGAATTAACACATCAATCAGAATTCAGAGGAGTTCTAGGCTGCTGGTCTGCTTCTCAGATCATTGGATCTTACTTCTTCCTGCATCACAGCTATACTTTTCAAACTTTCTCTTACTGTAAACCCTATGTTAGTGGAATAATAAAGGGAGATATTTTAGGTGGTCTTGCCACAGGAATCAAATGAAATGGCAGCTTGCCTCTGACAGGCAACACAACTCCTTTGAAGGTTCCTCACCCTGTACAGACAGATCTAAGGCTCCCATCATGTATGACTTGATTTATTTGTTTTGTGTTGCAACTTTACACACTGGTTCATAAGCACTGTCAGGTTGCCTTATTCTCTTTACTTGGGCAGTGAAAAAAATAGTAACGCTACAGTACCATAGTATTTATGTACTTACAATCTTGCAGCCATGTCTTGCCAGACTTCATGAATACACTAGAAAGGCTCTGAAGCATTAGAGTTACACAAAACACCTGACTGCTTATTTATTTTTTTTTCAAACAACATGTTGAAAACTAGATGGAGAAGAAAGGTACCACCTTGTTAAGGCTATTACAGTGATTTTTATGGTACTTATACAAATGCTGCACTTTTCTGGACAGATTCTAGCCAATAAGCCACATTTTCCTACCTAAATTTTTTACTTAAGTCTGTTTCAAAATTCATAGCTTGTACTTAAACAGGTTTTTACACTACAGCTTTGTGTTGATGTACAGCTGCCAGTGGATAAAGTGATTCCCACCTGTGTAGCAAAAGAAAACTTCCTTGTTTCTAAATCACAAAAACCCTGAATGATTCAAGGTCAGCAGGGGATATATCGAATATATCATGGGCTCCATACCATGGACTGCTCTGTTTATCATGCAGTCATGGAAGTACAGCAGAGCAAAACCAAAAAAAAAAGATTGCCTTGAAGACAATCTGACATGCTTCTCACCCTCACCATTCCCTTGATGCTCAAAGGCAAATTAAGAATGCTTCTTTTCTTTTTTTTTTTATCTCCTTGTTTTTCCCTATATTAGTGCAATGAGGCCAAGAGAAAAGTCTGGCTAGAACACTTAAGCATCACTTTGAAAACAAGAACAATAGTGACAGTGCTTTAAACGTGTTTTCTGCTCTAAGAGCCTTACTGATTTCTTTCCTGTGATGGGAAATTTTGAACTGAACACATTCTTCAACAAGGACAAAAAGCTGCCTTCAGAAGAATGTCTTCAGCTTCTGTAGTTGTTGTAAGTAAAAAATCAAATTACTAAAGTAAACTAAATGGAAGTAAATCTGCATTCTATGAAGTAAGATTTCAATTTCCTAAGCTAACATACTTCTAGAAGTAACTACTGCTAGTGTTGCTCAGCTGCAAGCAAGACAGAACATCACATTCCCAGGTTTTGAATTTAAAACACAGTATTACAGCAGTTTCCATTTCTGCATTAGCTAAACTTTAGTGCTAAAATGGAATATTGGGATGTTAATGACTTTGCTTTAGTAAGACCTAAACTTTTTAATTAACCTGCCAAGACAAATTACAGCCCCTAGCTCTTAGGTAACTATTGCAGACAGCTGAGACTCAACACCAATGCCTCTGTTGGGAGAGGGATTAATGGCAGCTTTGGAATGAGTCTGCTTTTTTCTGCAAAGAAAGAAAGTCCATTAAACACTGCGGTCAGAAGAAAGCTGAGTGCTAGTTTTATGGACTATTCTTTAAATTACAACCAAATGAATTTTGGTATATGAACAGTTTAGGCAGGTCAAACAAATTTAAAATTAAATATTACTGAATCGGAAACAGATTTAGATATTTACAGGGTGGAAGAAGAATACTCAGTGCGCTGTCAGGCACCCACTGGCAGCATCTTTTCCTTCTTGGACAGCAGCAAATCCATGCCTGTGAGCGGAACTGACAGGGCATTTTACTGCCAGAGAAATCAGAAGACCTATTTAGTTAATTTGTTCTTCTTAAGCAATATCAGCTTCCTTCTGTTAGCAAGGAGAAACATGGATTCCTGTTTCTGTGGTTGCTACTGCCAAGGCTTACAGTGCCCTTTATTGGAGTTTTAACCTCAGTGCTCTGCCTGAACTCCAGCTTGAGTGATTTTAATGGTGTTCAATGGCAGAACTGTCTGTCACACAGAACTGGGGAATGCTGCTACTCTCTGTTCTTCAATCACTCCTACACCTCTGCTACAGAAAGAGAAAAAAACCTACCAAACAAACAACAAATCAAGTAAAACCAACAAAAGCCAACTAAATAAAAGGAAAATCAAAGTAAGAAAATAAAGCAAGGATTTTCTAGCTTGTAATCCATGTTTGGCACTGTGCAGAATCTTGTTATGACTATAGTTACTTAAAAGACCTACAAAATACTTACTCAACATTTAGGGTCTAACAGTGTTCAGCATATTGCTACATACAACCCCCTCCAAGCATTTTCTCCAAAACCACACAAAGCCATCATGCAATTTGAGTACGTGCGTTAATACCTGGCCCCAAGGCGTACTTAGGAGTTTAGGAATAATAGAGGAAATCCTTACCAATAGCAGTAGTAAGGAAAGAAACCACTTCCGATTCCTTGCCATCATTGTAGAAGGCTAAATGCCATATTCCTGAATCTAAATACTGGATAAATCCTGTCTCGTGGCTGGCCAAGGGCACAAAAGCTCTGTGCTGCCGCTGAGGTCCTTCCAAGCTTCTCGCCTCCTGGGTCAGCAGACGTCTTCCATCAAGGAGCTCGACAAAGTCAAACTGAAACATAAGAGGGAGTGATGTTTGTGTGTTTATCAGGTATCCTCAAGCTTAATCTCTTATTCTGGGTCTGGAGAAGCATCATAAACAGGATTTGCTCTGGTAACTCAAGTACTTTCCTGGACTACCTGCAGGTAACCACTTTGGAAATAGCTAGTATTTGAACATATTTTCCTGTAATTATATAAATCTTGAAATCATCTTTGTTTAGAAGGTGACTTGCAGCATATTTGCCTTACTGAGATGTTCTCATTCTGTAGAAATATAGGCAGGAAATCATGAGATCATGCCTCAACTGCACTGTAAATATGACACTAAGCAGCTTATTTGTTATCTTTTTTATGTCTTGGCTAATATGGAAAGTAAGACAGAAAAATATATCTAGCCCAACTGGGTTGTTTGCCGGAGTTGCTAGGGGTCACCAAGGGAGAAGTAAAAAATATTTTAAAGTGAACTGTGGTAGAGGTTTTGCAGAAGTATTTTGCTTAGCCAACAAGGATTTCATCTTAAAACAAAAAAGTGGAAAAAGTGGTTAAAGGAAAGGTGGTTAAAAGATCATAAAAAAATGAAGATGGAAAAGAGATAATATAGAAAAGTCTCATTTAAGGAGTGGGTCTAGATATTTTCTTCAAAAGGATGCATTTACTTTTTGCAAAGGTAACTTTAACTGAACAACTGCTTTGCATTAATACTAGTATTGCAACTCCCTTTAGTCCCCTATTTAAATAACCTTCCACTGATTTTCTACAATAATTGTATTTTGTCTGGTAGTATACTAATGGGATGAGGCAGATATAAGCCTAGCAGACATCACAAATGTTAAATGAACCTTATCTAATCTGACTTGTATCATGTGTTTAGATGACCAGGACACCTTGCAAGCAGAATCCAACAGTTGAGGCACTATTTAGCTTTTCTGTTCCCTGACTTCACTTGGTTTTGCCTCTCTCATTGAAATGAACAGGTAAGTTTGTGAATTTTTTTTTGGAAGGAAGAAGAAAAACAGGCAGAAAGAAACAACACCACCTATTTCTGAATCCATAAATGTTGCTGCACTGAATGGCTGCTGAGTGTTAGTTGACTATGGCATCAATATTTAGGCTGCTTATCCCTTTTCACTTTACTGTAACAAAATTTGGGTGCTTGTTATTAAGTTGTTTGGTACGGTCTTCAAAGTCAACCAAGATAAGGACTTGATGACATGTTCTTTCCTATGTAGGAAATGTTAAAAAAAAAGTTAAACTACTAAGTTAAAAAAAGAAGTGTTTATTTCCAAGAACATTTTGAGCAATAAGCTATGTATGACATAGCTTGCATAAAAAATGACAAAATTCATCCCTAGCTTATTTTAATTATGTATTTTTTATCATTTATTTAGAGGAAATTATTTTTGATTCTTGCTTTAACTTCTATTTTCTTTTGGCTGCATTTCAGTATACAGATCACAAATTTGGTGCTGAAATGTCTTTTTGAGATTGTAAAAGCTGCCATACTGCAAAGGTCATTCTTTTTGGGGGTCTACACAAGTTAGCTTTGCTAGAGACAGAGTTTCAGTTTAGGAAAAATATGACACATATATATATATATATATATATAAGTTATAAAAATATACAATCTAAAATCTAACAATACAAGCAAGTATAAATTCTAAACACTTGCAATTAAAAATGTGCATTTCTGTTTCAACTGTGCCCTGGGGGACATCAGGCACAGCACTGCCGGCTGGGCAAGGGAGGGGATTGTCCCACTCTGCTCTGCACTGGGGCAGCCCCACCTCGAGTCCAGGGGTCTGTTTTTGGTGCCACAATATAAGAAAAGCATTGAGCTCTTAGACAGCATCCAAAGGAGGGCCATGAGGATGGTGAAGCTCTGGAGGGGAAGCTGCATGAGGAGTGGCTGAGGTCATTGGTCTGTTCAGCCTGCAGAACAGGAGACTGAGGGCAAACCTCATCCCAGTCTGCAACTGCCTCACTGAGGGCAAGTGCAGGGGCAGACACTGATCTCTTACTTGTCTGTGGTGACCAGGGACAGGAATTGAGGAAGCTGCCTGAAGCTGAGTCAGGAGAGATTATGGTTGGATATCAGGAAAAGTTTTTTCACTCATAGTGTGGCTGAACACTGAACAGGCTCCTCAGGGAAGTTGTCACAGAAGTGTTGGGACAACGCTCTCAGGCACATCTTGGGGTCTCCTGTGCAAGGCCAGAAGTTGGACTCAATGATCCCCATAGGTCACTTCCTACTCAGCATATTCTATGATTCTATGAAAACAGAAGGATTTAAGAGGATACTGGCAAGTGGCTGGTTTGAAAGACACTTTGGGACTCAGGTCTCTGTAGCCACTCTGAGCATAAACTCCTGCCTAGGCTGATGCCTTCTCAGGTCTCAGTGTGGCCATGCCTGACACAGCTGAGCAGGGCAGTGACAGAGGACATCATTGTGGTGTCTGGGTGCTGGGAATGTCTCAACAGAGTTTGAGTTTGAATAAGGAACAAGCAAACTGGAGAAGGTAAAACCAGTAAGAGAAAACCCAAAGTATTTACACATTCATTTTGGAGCAGGATGGAACGAGCTTGACTCGACTTTTAAAAGAGAATTCAAGAAACCATAGGTAAAGTTCACTTCACTGAGTGCTGCTATCTCCATGGCAGCTTGAATTAGTTTTCTAGAATCACTGGATTGCAAGCAAAGAGACACTTTTAGGATGCAACCTGCCTCATTGTAAAACAGACATCTAAGAAATATCCTGTGGATTGTGCTTACAAGCATCCACTTCCTGCTATATATTAGATGTAGTGAGATGAAAACAATTTCAAGGCACTCAGGTACAGTGAGCTGCTGCTGTTCTACTTCAGTCTGGGTTATACTTGGGGCTTTCTGCCAAAAACAAAAGGTTTTTCTAATAAATATTAGCAAGATGCTGCTGCATGTGTTGATGAATTTCGCCAAGCTACTAGTTACTAGTTGTAAATACTAACTGACCCACAAATGGATTGGGATTTATTGCATTTTAATACATTCAAAGATTTTTAATAGGCAATTAGTTACTGCTAGAAAGGAAATAATTGATAAAGTACCATATTAATCAATTCAAACTGTACAAATGGAAAAAAACCCTCCGCAAGCAGTGATGACCTATCTCTAAAATTCATGATTTATTAAAATGAGTTTTAAAAAATATTTGATCTAGGAAGATTAAATCTAATAGGCCATAACAAAATTGTGTAACTTATTATGATTTGTTGAGAAGAATGAGAAGAAATGCCTTTTGTCAATAGTAAACTATTATGGGCTTCTGCACGATCTATTTCTAAGACTATAGAAATTTGGAACTTACATTTTCTTCCTACTTATTAGTGACTATAGCTGTTGGCAATCTAAAATAGAAAACAATCACCACAGCCAGAGAATGTTTCCCAAAGAGAATTTAGAATAATTTGTTATTTAAGCATGGATAGCCATGACTTTGAGCCTTGCATTGGGTTTGCATGGCCAGGTTTTGGTAGCAGGGGGGGCTGCAGGGGTGGCTGCTTTCAGAAGCTGATGGAAGCTCTCCCTGTGTCTGACAGAGCCAATGCCAGCCAGCTCCAAGACAGACCTGCCACTGGCCAAGGCTGAGTCCCTCAGTGATGTTAGCAATTGTCACCTCCTTGATAACATATTTAGGAAGGCAAAAAAAAAGTTATTGCACAGAAGTAACTACAGCTAAAGAAGAGGGGAGTGAGACCAATAATACAGACACAAGGTGAGTGCAGAAGGAGAAGCAGGAGGTGCTCCATGTGCTGGAGCTGAGATTCCCCAGCAGCCTGTGGCACAGACCATGCTGAGGCAGCTGTGCCCCTGCAGCCTGTGGAGCTCCAAAGGGGAGCAGAGATCCCCCTGCAAGCAACCTGGCGAGAAGACCCGTGCAGCAGCAAGTGGATGCCTGAAGGAAGGCTGTGACCACATCCCAAGCCAGTGCTGGAACAGGCTCCTGGCAGGACCTCTGGCCTCATGGACAATGGAGCCCACACTTGAGTACATCTGCTTGCAGGAATTATGATCTCATGGGAAATCAATGACTGCACTCCGTGGAAAAAGTGAGATTTATTTGTTAAACTTTAGGTTTTTTACTTAAACAATTGAACTTATCTGTGTAATAACTCCTGTTCCATAACAAAATTTAAGATGATAATAAAATAAAATGAATACAGAGTTCTGATCTAAAGTTAGTACTATGCAATCATGACTTGAGTTTTTTTTAAACTAACACAGGATTTTTAAATTATAAATGTTTCAATATCCCTGTGAAAAGAGACTGATTAGAAAAGGGCAGTAATACCATTACTGTGGCACTGGAATTATGATGTGCTGACCCTACTGATGTATTTTAATTTTGCAGAAAAGTACATAGAGAAGCATAGACTTATGACATCTCTTTAACAGAAATAAGTGGGAGGTGTTTTAATATGTATAAAATACCACATTATCTACAGAGATCATAATAAACATATTTGTTTGTTCAAAACCAAAAAAAGGTGTCATATTTCTATAAATCTCTAGTATTTTCAGCTAATAGTAGAGGGCAAGGGCAAGATACAGTACCATAAACCTGCTAATTCTTTGATAACCTGCTGATGTAAGTGGGAGTAAGACACTTTGCACTGCCAGTGTATTATACCCTAATGTGGGTAAGAGCAGCTTAGAAGCTGAAACAGAAAGGAGAGAAAAAAAAGTATAAATTCCTTACTTAGGGAGATGGTTCTTAAGAGCTTTTCTCACAAAGTGATTTTTTGATATGTTTTTTTATCAAGGTGTATTAAAAAAAAATCTGCTTTCATTTTAGTCCTACAGAATAATAACTTGGGTCTTGATTTCTGCCTAAGTTGGTGGCTTTCTGTAAAAAACTGGTTTTCTTTTCTTATACACTACTGGGCCCTGACAAACCTCAGTCTAAGCAGATAGTCAGCATACATCATGTGAAGGGTTGCTCAAGGCATTCTGACATGGAAGACAGAAGTGAATCTTGCTCACATAATGGTGACCAACTGGGGTCTTGCTGCCCTTACCATGAGACAGGAAAGGCAGTGACTGGAAGAGAGACAGACCTGATGTATATGAATCTGCTTAAGAGAAGATTCCTTTGGATGCAGTTTGAGTGTGGCTGCCTTTGTGCATAGCACTGGATGGAGAAGGTGGTATCTTCTGCTGTTTGGAGCAACCAGCTGGTACCCTCAGTGGCCACCAGCCTCACAAAACCCTTCTCCTCTGGAAGTCCACTGCCTCAGGCAACTGCCTGCTCTTCCCCCGCCTACAGCCTACCAGATTAATTTGTGTAAATTTTTTCAATTATCTCTTGATTCACGTTCTCTGGATAAATGACCTTGGGCATCTTGCAAGCATGCAACAAACTCTTGAAAGAAATAGATGAAATAATGCATCATACAAACATCAATTTGAGACAACATAATTTAGTAAGTGAAACATAATTTAATTAAGGAAATAAGGTCCCATTACCTGTGTGTGTGATGGTGGGAGTCCTTTTCTGCCATAGATGCCAACAAGAGCAGCCTTTCCTAAAGACACATTGAATTTCAGATGCACTGGGTGGTCGATGAACACCTGAGATCTCCAAAAGATACCAGGGGGGATCTTCTGTGTGGCTCGTCTGCCTACATCAATTTCTCCGGAGTCTATAAAACTGTCGTCTGGAAAGAAACTACTGGGCTTTCCTGCCAAAACACAGGAACAAAATTCTTGAATTAGTCTTTAGATCCTGAAAGTAATCTAATCATACTGGTATCTCTGACACTGATCTTGAGAAACAGTCTATTAGTGTCCTGAAGTCTTCAGAGTACTTTGTGTAGCCAATCCATATGATTATGGGAAAAAAAAACTGGCAGGATTATTTCTGGCTTCAATAACTGTTTTGTTTGAAAACATGAGCATGGGAAAAGCAACCTGGAGAAAAATGGCCTTTTGTTTAAACTGTAACATCAGAGAGTGTGTAATTACATTCCAAAGACAAGAATAAATCATCTGACATTATATCCTACATTAAAAGAAGTTTAGGAATGGAGAAGTCATCATTAAATTAGTAAAGAGAAGTGTAGTGAGAATGAGATAGATGTACCACAGAGTGGAATGGTGGGGTGGGGAACAGCAGCATGAACGATGCCTAAGTGGGGAAAGGAAAATGTTTCTCCATTAAATTAATCCTTGACAGTGGTAACAGTATTTGAAATAGTAAAAAAAAGGCAAATAAAAAAAAGGACTGAGATACAAAAAGGAGACAATACCCTGCATTTGAGTAATATCTTTTAAGAACCATTAAAGGTTTTAATTGGGTTTCAATATAATCTGTAAAATACGCTATTATTATCCATTTTCTTTCAGAAGACAAATGGAGGCATCTGTTTCTAAAACTACCAGGCTGGAGAGCCTGAGTATTCAAATGGGATCAGGACACGCCATAATGTCCAAGGGAGTCAGCAGGGAGCTTGGCACCCCTAAAAACATACCTGAGGAATTCCAGGTTGGAAATTTATGCAGTTATAGCCCCCAAAGCAGATGGCCGCTTCAAAAAATCTGGACCCAAAGGAAGATTAGAGCATGAGGGGCAGAATGAAAAATCAGGTGCCAGAATGTTCCCTTTTCAGCCTGTGCTATAACCAGTGGCCACAGCTTTGGGCACAGAACACAGGGATGATGAAGAAGGCAACTGCTTAGCAAACAGCCTTTATTAAGGACACTTCTAGTGGAAAAGCATGCAGTAGCATCACCTGAAAAATTCTGGCTTTAGCAAGGAGAGCAACATGTCACCAACAAGGACTAATTATTAATTTAGGAAATGCAAATAAATTTGTTTCTTATCTCCATGCCATTACAGCACACACTACTCTGCATTTCACAGAGCAAACAATTGTAACAAAATGAGAAGGGAACTTCTCACTACATATATTCTTTTGTATGAAAATCACGTTATGAATTTTTTTTTTTCCAGTACCTACATTTGAGGATGGGGGAAAAAAATCCTTTCCCATCTACCATGAATTTATGTCAAATAGTCTCAGAATTTACTTGCCATATTGAAAATGGGACTGGTAGAACACTGCATTTTATTTCAAATGACATTTCCATTAAGATTACATAATGTTAAATATAGTATTGCCTTAAATTTCTCCATATACCATCCCAACACAAACTCTCCAGAAACAGATGTAAATTGTTAGCTATCTCTGAAAATCAATATAGAAAGTATATGCATATTAACTATTAAGGATGGAGAATTTTTCCTTGCAGAACTTTTGGCTCCAGTAACACTAAATCCTGATTTAAAGTCAGCAACTGCTTAAGGATACTGCTGGAGCAGGACTTGATGGCATGAGCTATCTTGAAGCAGAAGTTCTATGCATACCAGCACAAAAGGTTTATATATGCAAAGGCTGCATGTTCATACAAAAAAAGCTACTCTTAATTTTATAAGATCTCCATTTATCTTTGCTCATCATTCTCAAATAAGTACAGGCAGGAAATCTGCTGACTTTTACCTTTCTTCAGTCCATGTACATAATAAAGGAGATAATAGGAAACAGCTTAGGTAAATGGGCATTCTTTCTGAATCCTTCTGGGCTAATAGAGTATAATTGTACAAGGAAAATAAACCAGCTATATTTTGAAGGGAATTACTTTATCAACTGGATTGATAGTATTTATTTCGCATACTAAAATTTTATTTTCACACTCCCAGGATTATGAGAAACAGCTCCAACGTCTTCATGCAAAGTTTCTTACTGCACTGCTGTAAGATGAAAAGATTGAGGATTCTATTAAAGAAGAGCTAAAGACATCACATGTTTTGGTTCAATTGAATGATATATTTTTTCTGATTACCACTGACATGTTTTATAGATTCTTAGATATTCAGATGAAAACCTGAAGTATTTGATATACCCCATGATTGTTCATTAATAAAGATTGTACATCAGAGTGAATCAGGGAAGGTGAGAATTTAATATGACAGATGTTGCTATGCAAGATAGAGCCTGGAGAAAATGAGCACAGGGTGTATTCTGTAGAGATCAGCACTTGCTCATGCAAACGAAAATGCTTCTGTGATTACAAAAGACAGTCTCACAGAAATAATTTTTTGTACACACAATTACAAAGTTTATGTCTCCTCTTGGTGGACAGTTGTATGTCTGAAAAGCACATATCCTAAGAGCTGTTATGTCATGTTGCCAGAGGTTGAAGCTTGTCCTGATAGAGAAGTCAAAAGAGAAGCTGTCTTCTGAATTCAGCCCCTGAAATCCCTCTCTGTTTCACCAGTTGCAGCCTACAATAAGATCAGGCCCTGTGGACTGGATACTTCACGAAGAAAGTACAATAAAAAAGCCATTTCAGCTTCTAATCAGAAATTGGCTTTTAATCAGAATACTTGACTCCTAAAAATTAACTTCAGGTCTGAATTCTTAATTGGGCTGTCAATTACTTTGCTCTTTCTGCACATTACCTTGAACTTTTTAGTTACCGTAGCAACTCTTCCTAATTTCTTTATATCAAAATGAACTATTTCATTTCAGACCTTGCTGAATCTCTCTGTATTTCTCACAGGATGGTTCCATGACCCATCAAAACACTTAAAAACACACACAGTTCTGACTTCAACTACAGTCAATTACATGCTTAAATGTAAGCATGTGATTAAGGGCTTTGGTAAACGGGGTTGGGCTTAACAGAGGTAAATGCTGTTCTGGAGCACAGCCACAGATGAGAAAGGATGACTGTTACTGAGAGCTGGCAGGACACTGGTAATGATTCATTCAGATCAGCACTAAGGATGCTCCTAACACATTCTAGCCTATTTCATTCTGATTCAGAAGACATTCAAATATATTTCAATTCTCTTTAAAATAGATTTCAATCACAGACATTCTGGTTTAGAACAGAAGCCCTGCAGCACTGCTAGCCCAGAATTAGTTACACAGTTACCTGATGGGGAGAGAGCTGCATTTGAAGGCTGGACAGTATTACTCCTGCACCAAAGATGTGCTGATGTGCTTTTTAGTCAGGACATGATATTTTCCTCTAAAGCCTACAGATTCCCTAAGATCTATACAAAGCACTAACTTGAGGGGTCTTCTCATGACACAACTATGCTACTTCCCAGATTTCTCTTTTAACAGAGCAGCAATCAAAACTTCTACTCATGTCACATATAAACATGGCTAAAATAAAATTAAGTGGAGGTCTTTCACTTGGATGGCGGCTTTGAATACCTACATTTTACTGTGACTTTTAAAAGGAAATGGACAGATCAAAGCTAGATGATTCAAAAATGAACCATATGGCAAGTTAGAGGGGAAAAGAAAAGGATCTGTCGTGAAGTATTTTTGAGTGCAACAGCAGGGCTGTCTGCAGCTTGCTGTACTGTCTAGTAAGGTTTGCTGAGAATAACCTGCTTAGCTGATTTTTCCTTGTAGCAACTTGATGGCAGCCATCAGTTACCAGTAAATGCACTGTTTTAAGGAACACAGATAATTATGGCCTTCATTTGGACTAATAAAGACAGAAAAACTGTTATAGGAAAAACCCGCTGCAATTAATTTAAATTAAACATCTAAACACAGGCTGTCAGCCAAAGCCTAGGGAACTCTATGGAAATGTTTGAGTTTAGTGAGTTCCAAGAACACTAGCATACATCTTACCTGTGCAAAAAACTTCTACCAAAATAACTATCAAGAATATTACCTTACTGGTATCTCCTAATTATATACAGAGAAGCTTAATGCATAAACAAAAAAGCTTTCTGAAAGTTTGCATTTCTCATTTCTCCAGCTATGTCTGGCGAGGGATAAGACTTCGCAGAACTTACAGATACTTTTAGCAGTGGTGGCTCTAAAAAAAGAACACAGTGATGTAAAGCTGCTGAGTAAGGTGCTGCTGAATTGAGGACCCATAAGCTGCTTCTAATTTCTGTCAACACCATGATACTTTATGGAGACTAGGCTTTTTATCTGGTTACTTTTGCAAAGCTATGCTCAACTCTGGAATGCCAAAACTTACAGTGTAATAGCTCTCAGTAAGTATTTTGGTCCTCAAAACATTTGCTAAGTGGCAACAAATAGTCCAACTCAAACATTTTTGTAGTCTGTAGAAAAAGCTTGATCCAGTGCTCCAGGAATCATTTAAAGAGACAATGTTTTTCCATGAAAACAACCACTCGAGGCAGGGTTTTCATGCTGGCCTTCTGTAATCTGTGAGAATGCCTTGAATGTGTGGAGAAGGTTTCACACAGTTTTATTGCATTAGTGGACATCAGAGGGGTATGAAACTTAGAAACATATGGAAACAGGACTGACAGCTACTAGCTCTAGACATGAAAGACTGGAGAAGCACCTGCTGATGGCAGCACTGAGGGTAATGGAACATGAGATTGGACGGCTGGAGTTTAGAGGCAGACAGAGGACTCACAACATGGACACACACCAACCATACCTTCACTGGCTCCTTTGCCTTTCCTGTCAGGTAACTCTAACCCTGTGCCCCCCGAAGGATATAAGGAGACGTCCGTTGGCACTGGCCAACTGCTGGCTGTGTCTTCCGTGATCTCATACATCTGCCCTTCCATCGGCTGCAGGTGCCAGTTTAGGCCAAACAGGTGCATGGCTGTGGTGAGCAATGAGAAAAGTCATCTTTTTCTGTTTGGGAGAGTTTCAGAACTACAGGGGCACTTTCTCTTTCTAAACCCTTGCTCCAGTGCCTTATTAGTGGTCATTGCTTTAGGACAAGAATGGGATTAATGTAATTAGACAGCCCCTGCTGCTTCTACCATACCAGCTCCCTAGGTCTTTCCACCCACTTACACTTGATTTACATCACCTGTAACAATCCACTCTGCTTCTTCCAGCAGAACCACTCCTGACTCATGGTCTGCATAACCAGGCACAGTGTTTCACAAAGCTCCCAAGGCTGGGATGACAATGAAGTGAACACAGAAATACAAGGAGTATTATTTCTTAACATACCAATAAATCCTAGGGAACTGCACTCCAGTTTGTTTTGCTATATTCACAAGTGTATTACATAGGTTCTCTTTTTTGTTTTTACCCATCAATTATACACATATACACAGAAGCCTTTACAGACATCTCTGACAGCTTTTTCTGGTTAAGACCAAGTAAAAACAGGCAATTCAAGACCTATCTTGTGCACATGCCTTTGTGGTCTGCATCACAAATGTGAGCAACTATGTCTGAGCATTCTTTCGTACAACTCAGCCTCTTCTAGTCAGATCAAAGACATATCCTTGAGAACTGAAAACAAGCATCACCATTTAGATTTGTGTCATAGCAGGGCAAAGCTCTCTGTAGGTTTCTGGGCCATGCAAAGTCACCCATGGCACATGTGAGTCTATTTCAAGGCATTACATGAAGACAAGTAAAGTTAAGGAAAAAAGAAAAACTACTTAAAAAACAAATGCATGTATGAGGAGTATGGAAATCATATGCTTATACACCTAATACTTGCTCCTTCCAAATATAAAGCAAAAGAATGTGGCTTGTGGCTTACCATATCAGTTCTTCCATCCCCAACATAAACACTTCATACTCAATCAGTATCCAGCTTAGCTTCAGGCTTTACACAGCTAAATGATTTGATATTTGCTACATTTGGAATGACATTTCTTTTTTAGGGGAAAGCCTTGATATTTTACACTATAATTTCTCCAAGAAACTATACAATGGCTCTAACATCACAGCCATTTAGTACAAACAACAAAAAAAAACCCTAAAAAAAAACCAAAAATAAAACCAAAAAAACAACAAAACAAAAACCCAGTAAAGAAACAGCATTTCCATGGCCTATAACTCTATTTTTATTCACAAACATACACCTGAGATTGGCAACCATTGTTAGGGACAAGTGGTTAGTTTATTTAAACCTGTGCATCAGAAACAATCTTTACAAGAGAACTGAAAAGTAATCTGAGTAGCTCTCTGAAGACAGCATGTTTAGGCAATTTAGCAAAATACAGGATTTATTCCACTTCAGTTTCAATTAGGTCACCTATCATTTACTAACATAAACAAGGTTGTCTTTGCACAACTACAACATCACAAAACATGAGTGCAAAATTCTTTTTTACCATGTAAATGGAGACTGTGTTTGTTAACAGTTTTATCCATTAGGAAAGAAAATACACTCAAACTCCCACATAGAAAGGAAGCACAGCAAGGAATGTCTCCTGAGGGCCTGTTCAACACTCATTTTTATACAGGTACATATACCAAGAAGGAATGGTATCAACACCACTGGTAATATAACCAGGGTACTTTAAGAAGAGGAACAAGTATTTTCATCTAAAAGGGATATATACTCAGCAGAGAAATTGAGAAGAGGGAGGAAAGGGAAGAGACGAAATTAGACCATGAACAAGAAATCTGCACTAAGCATTTGGCATCACTATGCTTGCATAATATCTTTGTGTTTATACAGCCCTCATCATCAGAATGCCTGGGCACTTCATAGCTATTAACCTCACAAAACCTCATCAGGTAGGAATCTGCTTTTTTCTAGTACACAGAAAAGAAAAGGAGAACTACAGTAGATTAAAGGACTAACGCAATTCACTTGTTTGGGCATTAAAATGCAATTTTGTGTTAATTCACTTAACTTACTGTATGCTTACAGGGTTGCAAGCTCCAAGAGGCTTTTCATGCAGCTCTCTGCCAGCAGTTCTGTTGTAAACTCAGTACTGGATGCTGTCTTATAATTCCATCCAGGCCGGACGTTTCCAAGGGCCAGAGTGTTACCCAGATGCCGCAGAGCTGTTACAGAGCTCAACAGCTCAGATGCTCTGAGCACACAACTTCCTATGTTTAACATGGGATCTTTGTAGCTACATGCATGTTTGTAGTTCCAAGCAGAATGGAAACTGTACTCTTCACTCCTCCAAACTCAGGCATTTCTAGACAGCAGTCAGGCCTAAATTCTGCTGGTGCTAAGTGTTTAACATCAGCTCCATCTCTCAGACATCTTCATGTTAGAATGACCTGCATGAGCTTACAGCGGGCATTCCTGGTCTAGGCAGAACTGAGCCAGCCATTTGCTTTCTTTGTAACACCATTTGACTTCCTCTGTCCTTTGGACATCTCAGCCTCAGTGCCACACAGATTTTTAGGAACACATTGCAAGGCCATTGTTTCCCCAAAAGACTATTGCTGCATCTTCTCTCCTTAGGAGGAATTTTTTTATTGTAGATTATTATTTATTGCAAGCAAATAAAAGTGAAAAACTCAATATTGCTTTGGGTGCAGTGGGCATTTTTTACAGGCACTAAAATTAATTTAAAATATATGAGAGGAAATATCTTAACAAGTGATCATCTTGCTTCAGTTTAACAACAGAACTGACACTCTGGAAGATGCTACAGCTTTTCTGCACATTATCCATCCACTTGCGCAAGTGGATCAACCATTCCATGTCATCATTCAATGCTCAATGTTTGAAAAGGGTCTTACAATTTCCCAAAATAGAAAATACAACCAAATTATCTGTAACATAGATACTGTGTTATCACACAGTAGTTAAAAGACTTGTATTAATGTTAATTTTGACCTTTGCTAGTAGATTTTGTCTAAAGCAAAAAGCTTCTTGCGTACATTGATCTCATCATCACATAGGTCACAGAATCATAGAACGGTTTGGGTTGGAAGGGACCTTAAAGACCACCTAGTTTCAACCCCACTAACATGGGCAGGAACACCTTTCACTAGACCAGGTTGCTCAATGCCCCATTCAACCTGGCCTTGAACACTTCCAGGGATGGGGCATCCACAACTTCTGTGGGCAACCTGTGCCAGTGCCTCATCAGCCTGATAATAACAATTAATTATATCTAATCTAAATCTATTCTCTTTTCATTTAACACCATTATGGCCCTGTCACTACAAACTTTGGTAAAACATCTCTCTACATCTTTCTTAAAAGCCTCCTTTTAAAGTATTGAAAGGCTGTAAGAAGTTCTCCAATGATAAGCCATGAGAATGACAATTATGCACACCATGCACACAAAAGTGCAAAACGTTGAAAACCAGAATTATTTGAATAGCATTTTGATTATCAAGTGGCTTAAAAAATTCAGAAAACAGTGTAAAAGCTGAGAGCTACTGCTCTATTCAGGATTTCTGAGTTGGTGTTCTTAAGCACAAAATAAAAGCCTATAAATATCCCCCTTCATATGGCAAACAGATATCATGCAATTTCTGCTATAACCACAAAAGTCAACCTGAAACAAGAACAAAGAGTCTAATTTACTTTGGAAACACACTCTTGTAGCAGGTATTTTATGAGAATGTCACCTGAATAAGTGATTTCATTACTATATTCCAAATACCAGCAGTGTCTGATTGACAACCTGGTGGAAGATTCATTTCTCGTCTTGTTCTAACTGCCACACTGGTGCTAAAAAGTTAAGTAGTAATAGCAGTGGATATTTTGGGTCTTTACATCTCAATGGGATGTCTAAAGCTGTTGTTGCACACAGTTGTGTTTAAAGGTTTTATAAATCAACCTTGATCTGTGCAAATTCTTTCCCACAGAAAAAAACCCAAACAACTAAGGACCATAATCATGGAAAAGCCCTGTAACCATGGATGAGTACCATAATAATATATTTTGAAGTGTTAATGTTCCTAAGAGGGAAGTAAAGCTGTAAACGTAGTTTCAGATTCCTGATGTTCTTAGTCTCTGGGTCAATGGAACCCACTGTGGACATTTTTTCTGGCTTTTTTTCACCCCTGCTCAGCTAGACACAAGATGTTGCTGACACAGAATAAATGCCCTCCTAAAAGCCCCCATGTCCTTCTCCATCTCTGTCTCCAACATGACACTCAATAGATTTTCAGATATTGAAGGCTCCCCACGTATTAAAAGAGCACTCTGCAATTAACAATCATTAAAGTGTACACTTTTGTAAAATACCATGTAGCTTTCACTGCCTAGGAAGCTCCATGACAGGCTCTTTGCAGAAGCTTTGGTTATACTCCCCATGGAGAAGAAAACTCCCTTGTCTCCCTTCTCCTGGAATGAAAACAATACTCAGGGAGAAACCCTGCTTGCTCTCTGGACTGTTTCACCACCACCAACTTAGATGATATAAAGGCATCTGGGGCCTCTGGCCCATTATGCTCATGTTTTGAATTTAAAGCTTTGACTTGCATGACCTTTCCCCTGCAGCTAAGTGCCAGCAAAAGATGCCCTAAAACTTGCTGAATGGGTAACAGAATTTTCTGTGGCAGACTAAATCCCCTTATCCTCAGTCCTAAGTCACCTGTGGCTGCCTTCTTGGTGGAAAAAAATTAGAGATCAAACTCCAGTCCTTTCAGGGTTTGATTACTTTGCAGAATTCAGCATTTCAACCACGCCAGTGTGATATGACTGTTCTTTTCAGGACTCAGATTCACTTTAGCAGAGAAAATTTGTGAAGACTTTAGCATCATCTGAGTTATTTAATCATACAAATAAATCAAAGTTCATATTGATAGAACCAAGTATTCAGGATCATGATTCTTCTGATTTTAACATATTTTTTTTTCCTATATTGCATTCATTACTCCTACTCCATAGCTACTTGTGGACACCATAATCAGCATCAGCAGACACTG